ATAATCAAAATCAAACTTTGTTCACGGTGTCACTTCATCAAAAATTCTCTTCCAGTGTGCCGTTTGCATAACAAATTTTAAGACAACTACACTAATGCTAAAAATATATGTATGCTAAAAGAAACTGTCCTAGAATTAATTGCACAAAAATTATCCTACAGTACACATTATAATATATACCTAAAATAAGTTCCATCACGACTACCTCAAGGCAATCACCGGTTCAAGAAGTCACGGCAGACTTAGAGGAGTTGCACTCTAAAATTAGGTGTGTTTCCTCAGCACACCTTGTGCATTCTCCAGCACATAAAGATGTGTGGTGGTAACACACCTTTACGCTGTTTCATTTTAAAGTTCAGACTAACACACAAGAGTGTGTAAATAAACACAGAAGGTGTGTAATTACAACATACCCTGTGATCATTCTACAACTCACCCTAAATTGATGAGATGCAAATGTTCTCAAAATAGAGAAATCTAGCAGATCCACACAACACACCTTGAATGGCAACACATCTTCCCTATTTCAGGGCATCTTTGTTACCAGACAAAGCTAATCAATGACATCAATGAAATCAATGAGTAATTAATGAATATTCAGTTGATTGGTCGTTGATTATTGCCAATGTTCAATGAATAATCAACAGGCCACAAAATTTTCAGTCATTGATGGCACTGTTTAGTCATGGTCGATATAATCTTGTAGCTACACAAACTATTCCAAATCGTGGAAAAAAAAACAAATAAAAACAACTTCTTCAAGGTATCTGTCACAGAGCAAACTTTACTTAGTCTATAACAATGGCATCTAAAAACATCAACCTCGTGACTTCAGTAGTGTGTTGGTGCTTGTTGTTGAACCAGACCTTGACAGTTCTCCCATCAGTTCTTTCCTCTTTAAAATTATTCAAGTACTCTTTGCATAATAAATATGCAGCATAATATATATTAATATCGACAATTATCAATTGTCACCAGTTGAGCACACCAGGTATATGTCTAATCAGTGAATAATTGATGGGTAATCCTGCTTGGTAGGTAATCGATGTGTAAACAATAGCATCAATATCAATGACATTTATGAGTAATCAATTGGCCTCAAAATTTTGGGTCATCGATTACCCATTGATAACTGCCACTAATGACTAATCAGTTGATTATCATTTATTTGCACATATATTTACACAGTTTTACATTAATTTGTACTTTTGAAGTTATAAAATCATTTGTAAAGTTATCAACCCATTTACTTATATTTACAGAAGTCGCTTGGTTTCGCATTTACCATATGTAATTTTCATGTGAGTAAAGCCTAGAACTTTTTGATCTCAAAAGAATATGTTTACTGTTCGATGATTTTCCGTTTCTTAAACAGACAGCTTCTTTGTACGTACTACGCTTGCATAACACAGTTGCAGTGTCCTGCATGGTTCATGCATAGAGTCCCTGTTTGTGAAAGCCCTCAAGTACCAAAGCGTTGGATTGGAACTCCCTATTGAGGCACAGAGGCTTTGATCAAAAAGGGGACCTCCCCTTTTTGAGTGATGGATGGGCACAGGTGTCATTGGCCTGTGTAAAGCCATAGCAGTTCAAATGCCATCGTCATTGTTGGATCTACTACGATCATGATTTAGTGACATATTTTCAAGGTGTTTAATCCTATGTTGAAAAAGAATCCTTGACTATAAAGGATGTTTGTTCTTCATGGCAGTGGCTTCCTAACATTCATGTTAAGGTTACAAGGTGGTGTTGTTCACATTTTTTCCAGGGCCGAGTTGTTTGAAGGCTGATTAGCGCTAACCCAGGGTTAAATTTTAACCCAGGTCTCTTGTTCTTTTCATCAAAAGCATTTTCTAGGAAAATTTTCTCTAGTCTTTTTAGAGTAGCTAATCATCCAATTGTAGACAAAAAGAATTAAACTGAATTTGCTATTTATGCTTTCATATCTGAATTCAAATTTTGTACTAACCCTTGGTTATCTTAACCTGACTTTTAACAACCCGGCCCAGGGGTATAAGCCCACTATTAACCCCTTATGAAATGATGGCCAAAGGAGCAAGGGCTGTCACTAAGATTTCAAGAGTTACATTCAATTGGTGGGTGAGGAAATTAACAGTTAGGCGGCTTCTAACATTTTGTCTGCCATAAGTATGAAGTACTTTCACAACAAACGTTGTCCAGTGAACCTTGGTTCGTACTTAATGACAGCCGTGCCCAGGTAATATATTACAGCAACAACGATGACAACCCCTTTGGCTGAGAAATGATTCTTTCATTTTTGGTCTTAGTCAAGTGCATCTGTATGCATAATTTTGTGAAATGGAAAGGGGCAAATTCACCTGAACCATTAAAGGGAAAGTGACACGTACAAGCTAAAAATTGGAAGGATTTGTATGCGAAGAAACTTATGCCACCCAGTCACACTTGAATGGTTTTCCATCCAAATCCTTGTAAACTTCAAAATTTTCAAACTGCCTTAAAGCATCTGCTTAAGCATCATGGGGCACAAATCTCTTTTTAATTCATAACACTTACAGTGTGAACTGGAATACCGTGAACACTTGAAAGATCAAATTTTCAAACTAATGAACATTCTTGCTTGCGGGTTAGGTTTCTTATGCCTGATTGGCTTTTCCCTTGCAACACAATAACATTCCAGAAATATTTCTGGTGTTCCTGATTTTCCTGGTTGCTATTATCTTATCTATTATTAATATGAAATTATCATCTTATCTTATTTTAAAAGTACACACTCACTCGCCCCCTCCCATATTCACTGTCATTCTGCTTCCCCTCCCTCCCGTCCCCCCTTCCTCTTATTTTTAAAGTACACACCCACCCGCCCCCTCCCATATTCACAATCATTTTGCTCCCCTTCCTCTCCTCCCCGCCTTCCTTCCCTTTTTTCCCTCCCTCCCCTCTGGTTTTTCCCCTTCCTCCCTTGACAATCACGCTTCCTGTGGCGCCGCTGGCCACAAGCCCAACATCTCACTGTATGAAAACAGAGAAAAAGAATAAATTAACATTTGGTGAGAGAAATTGACATAAACATGAAGGGAGCTTAGGTAGCAATGACATCATGGCACGTATAAATTCAGCCGTTTCAGAGGGCTGTTTTTTCACTCGGGCTTTTTAAGCGAATACTCATGTCTTGACTGTAACCAGAGTTGTTTACTGTTGCTTTTGAGGGTCATTTTTTATTTATGCTATGTTGAAATTAATGCTAGTTTAGGTCACCATGGGTCTCATGCAATTTTGTTTCCAGTTCTTGGTTTTTTGTAATGAGAGCTTGGATTTCTGCCGAAAAGAAATTAGTTGTGAAACATTAACAAGACTGCTGGATGAGGATTCATCTATGTCGGGGTGAAAAACAGTGACTCTACATTGATCTAAGTTGTCTGACATGTTTTATTTTTGTACAGCTAAATCAAAAAAGGTTGCAAGGGTGATTGGACATTATGGAACAATGCAATGATTTACTTGAGTGACTGCCAAACAATAGGTTTCCAATGCCACATTCCCAAAGCCCAAAGCAACCTTTATTGAATCAGCTATAAACGTCAATCCGTGTCCTGCCACACGAGTCAATTAGTTGCCTAATTTCTTGAATGTCAGCTTAGAATCCATATCAAGGAAAGAAAGCTTACTTTCTTGTAAGATCTCTTGATTTTCTGCAAGGGAACCAAAGGTAAAGCACATGTGAATATTTATTTAATATTATTTATCTTTGATTATATTAAGCTTAATAGAAATGACAAAAAGAGGGAAAAAGACAAGTCTTGTTTCATATGTCACCATGCAATTTCAACTTGTTCAGGTTAAGATTAAAAGAGGCTTACTGAGGACTTCTTTGATGTCCAGTTGTTCTGCAAGAAAATATAGAGGTCAAAATACCACTTAAGTTGCACTGGTTTTCAGAAAACACATCAAAAGTGATGAATGTAAATTTAAGAGGGTTTTTAAATTGTTTTATTTATTCTAGGAATGCAGTAAGATTTTTTTCTAATATATGCTTGCCTCTATAGCTGTTTAACTTACCACTGGTTGTATCCTGGTCAACCGTCTCTGTCAACAAGAACACAATTGCAACAAAATAAACTTTGGAATTAAAGCATCGAGGTTTTTCAAGTAAAGACTTATAATTTCATATTTGTGATTCTTGTCTGTCGAACCTCAATAACTTAGAAGAGAAAGGAACATGAAGTTGTTAAATTACCTTTTTCTTTGTCTTCACTACAAACTGGAGAAGCAGCTGGAAAGAAAAGATTTAGTAAAAATTAAGCTTTAATCCAAGAAAGGTTTACAATGCCAAAGTCAGCACTATATTCACATTCATCTATCGAACCTCTTCAGTTTCTTTAGAAGCTGTTAATAAGAGGGAAAGAGACAAACTCTATAAAGTTATATTGAGAGCAAAAATAACGGCAAAAAGAGTGTTTCACTAGTTTTCAGAAAACATATCAAACGTGATGAATGTAAATTTAAGAGGGTTTTTAAATTGTTTTATTTGTTCTAGGAATGCAGTGAGATTTTTCCTAATATATGCTTGCCTCTATAGCTGTTTAACTTACCACTGGTTGTATCCTGGTCACTGGTTGTATCCTCACTTATAATTTCATATGATTTAGAAGAGAAAGGAATATGAAGTTGTTAAATTACCTTTTTGTTTTCACAGGATCTCTTTAATCCAAGAAAGGTTTCACAAGCCAAAAAAACTCCAGCACTAAAACAAAAATGGTTGCGCGTTTTCTAGTTTCTTCTCGTTTCAAAAAAAAGGCTAAAAGTGCCGCTCGCTGTTTGCCGTATGAACAATATAAAATAAAACTGACGTTACACATACGCAGCCTCTCCGCACAGCCTGGGCCTAGTTACAAAAATCCCGTCAAACGACCTAAAAATCCATCCGGAAATTCTCCAAAAAAGCTTCAATATATAGATTTAGCCAGGGCTAAAAGCGAAGTCTGTGGTTCATGTTGAATCATGGCTTCTGTAACTTGCACTCAAATAAGTAGGCCTATCTCATCAGAAAACACAGCCGGGATGTCTAAATCTTCAAGGTGTTTCCAGGTTCTTCTAACGTTTTCCTTGACAAGTCTCTGTGGAGGGACATTTAATTTGGGAACTGTCCACACAGGATGGTTGCGAACAGGCGTGTCTACAGCTTGTTTCCCGGTCGCTGTCACAAGAAGATTCACTGCTCTAGAGCTCTGCGGAGTTCCATTATTTTCAATGTTTCCCAGGCAAAGTAGTCGCTCCGGTCCTTCGAGATTCAGCTTGTCGGCGATGTCTCTTCTTATCAAGGTGTCTGAGCTGCCGTCATCCAGAATAGCAAACGTTTCGATCGTGGCCACCCTGTTTTCACCTTGTATTTGGACCGGGACAACTTGGAAATAAACCACTCTCTCATTTGCTGCGAGGGAGTTGGTGGTTGCCACATAACGCAGGGCGTTCCCCGGAGTCAGCGGGGGCTAAGTTTGTTGGTCCTGACTAGGCGGTGGCTGAGGTGTTCACGTTCATCTCATAGCGCTCAGGTACAGACTTTCTTTTAAATTCATTACATCTGTAAAGTGGGTGAGCTTGATTACAGCGTAGGCAGGCTGGTGACTTTGGTTTTTTATTTGTGGGTTCATCTCCCTTTGGCTGTGGGTCGCCCTTGATGTGCAGTGTAGACGAATTCATGGGTCGATCTTGTTTTGGTGGTTTACGCCTGTTAGGTGGCGGACATTTAACTGGTTCCTCATACACCAGGTGTTGTCTTGCTCTAACAGGTTCTGAGAGCCATCGGTCCAGGTCAAACAAGTTAGGCCTTCCCTGACTTTCATGTTTCTGAACTTCCATCGCCCACTTGGATTGCAAAGGCCCAGGGAGTTTTTGAACAGCAATGTTCAGATTTGTCTCACTTAAGAGATCAGCAAATGAATCTCTGTCTGTGAAGGGTGACGACAGTTGACGTCAGTGCTTGCTACAGCTTCGTAAGACCAATATGATCTTGAGGGCGTGGTGATGGTGTGTCCTTAAGAGCAGTAATGGCTGCACGCACAATCTTTCCAGAGTCAGCGAATCTTGCTTTGAGCATTCTAAGAGCCAATATGTAATTTGCACCATCTTCTCCAAGGAACTGGATTTCTGACTCTGCAGCACCAGTTACAGTATTCTGAAGATACGCTAAATGCTGGCTATCATTCAGAAAGGGCTGATCATGTACAATGCTTTTAAATCTTCCAATCCACGAAGGCCAGTCAAGTGGTGAGCCATCAAATTTTCAAATTTGGGCAGTGAACGTTCCAGTGGTGATGTGATGTTAGTTGAGGCCGAGAAGTGACGCCATACTCATCAAGTTGATCTATCCAAGCATCTGGAGGGTGTCCTGGAAAGTCAGGCATTAGACCCCATCTTGGGTGTGGCTGTAATGATGTTCCTGGTAACCTGGGTCTTGGTGACACAGCTTCGCTGGGTACAGTCCAGCCTCTCCAAGGGGAGTTTTGTGAAACTGGTGTACTAATCTGTTTCAAGTCAAATGGGACTCGATTGGGTGCAGTCGAGCCCCTCCATGGGGAATTTTGTGTAGCTGGTGTACTAATTTGTTCCGGGTTCGACAGGGCTTGATAGGGTACAGTCCAGCCCCTCCAAGGGGAGTTTTGTTTGGCTGGTGTTCTTATCTGATCTGGGTTAGATGGGAGCTTGTAACATGCCACAGGAGTGGAAATTGAGTCGGTTACTGTTGTAACTGTTCTAGGATGAGTAAGAGGAACTTTGGTGTGGAACAATTAGTAGCTGGCACCGTGGTTAAATTGCTTGTACTGGTTGTGTTATGCACTTTATTTTCAACAGTGGTTACGGGTAGCTGCATTACTGGACTAGTTCCAATTTCAATTGGCTGATGTACAGGCGGTGACGAGCTCTGAACAACTGAGGTTTGAACTACAGGGGCATCACTCTTGGGTTTGTCATCGCTAAGTAATTTGTCAACATTCTCTTTTGAAGATTTCAAGGGTTCTAGTACTGACATTTCATCCACTTCTTTCACGAGTTTGGCCTCCAACATAGCTCTTTTGGCATAATACATCTCAATATTATCAAAACAATCATAAACAGGGCCAAGGGTTCCCTCCATCCAATACTCTGGTTCATCGCCATCGGGATTAAGCTCAAACAAGGCTTGATTAATATTCTCTAATTGAGACACAGCTTTCTCAAGGTCTAACTTCAATGAAGCAACCGTTTGCTAATGTGACGATTTATCGGATTGACTAACCTCGATACGTATGCTTTCTTTCCACGCCGAGTTCCTGGAATTTTCCGAGCTTCTTCGTGGGCTGTATTATCCCTTGTTCCAACAACGTAATCCCGAAAGCCCTCAGACAGAGAGCGTCTCAAGCTTGGCAAGTAATCTCGGTGTGTTTGTCTTCCAGCTTCACGCAAGTAATCCTCAGGAAACCAGTAAGGGCCTGGTTGTTTATCCCACAGCGAACCATTTGATTCGGCCATCTCGCTCGTTTAGGACAGTATTTCCAGTGAAACATCCATCTCGAAGGACCAAATAATGTGGCGGAGGTTATCCAAAGAAAATAAAACTTGGGCAACGAGCGAGAACGACAAAGATTTTAACTAGCGATCCGAGAACTACACAATAACACAACAAGATGGCGGATCTCACGAGCACATGCTTGAGTCTCTAGTTCATGGGGCATGAAGTCCTATTTTGGTAGAGTCCGCTGGCTAAAGGGCAGTCGGCAACAATAATAATAATAATAATAATAATAATAATAATAATAATATATAGAGATTACAGACAAATGGTACGAACACGAACCAGAGACCGTGATACACAATAAAGATAACAACATCACCATCATGTGGGACATGCCAGTCAATACTGATAGAACTATAACAGCGAACAGACCAGATATCATCGTTAAAGATTCAGTGAATTCCACCTGCAAACTTATTGATATGACTGTTCCATCAGATAGAAACATCGCACTGAAGGAAACTGAAAAAAATGCAAGTACAAAGACCTAGAACTAGAAATACAGAGATTGTGGCATATGAAAACCGTAGTGATCCCTGTGGTTGTTGGTGCGCTTGGTACAGTGAAGAAGGGTATGGTAGAAAACATCCAGAAAGTATCAGAAGGAGCTAATATGACAGAGATTCAAAAGATCTGCATGCTGGGATCTGCACGAATCCTCAGAAAGGTGCTCAGTGTATGAACAGAATGATTGACTTGAGTGACTGACGCTCTAGGTGCATGGTTTGCGCCCGGCTGATGCACAAAAAGAACACCAGCAAAGACTGTGATAATAGAGACAATAATAATAATAATAATAATAATATACACTTATATAGCGCCTTTCTCTTAGTGATCCAAAGCGCTCTACAATCAGTAAATACTTAGAAAACAAATAATTCAAGTACAACATAACAGGATTTAAAACCCCAACTGGCAGGAGGCAACCAGTTTGCTATTTACAAGCGTGGCCGAGGATTTGAGCTCAGGACGACCGAGAACAGATCCAGCAAGTCGCCAGAGCGGGACTCGAACCCAGGACCACCGGATTGCGAGTCCGACGCACTGACCACTCGGCCACGCTGTCTCAAATATGCAATACTCCATACCATGGTAAATCATGGCGCAAACAACTGCTTTATGGTCAGTCCTCTCAACTTCATATGCCACGTGGTGATGGTCAAAAGAAAGAGTTGCAAGTTCTGTCAAAATCAAAAATTGCTCATCTTCCCAAACGATGATCTCATCTACTTGTCCATATACAGGATAGTCATTCTCCACATCATCCATTTCTCGTAGCCTCAAGACACATCCAGGTCTGTACTCAATACCGTGAATCCCAACACGCTTTACAGTGAACATTAAAAGACTGCAATTAACATCTGTCACAATATCAGTTCAGGTATAAATCAAGGTAAATCAAGAGTCGTTTGGAACATAGACAGAAGGAGGATTTGCAGGTGAAACACAAACTTACCTGCTTCCCACAAATCTCTTAGGGACATCACGCAACCCTGCAGCATCACTTATTAGGTGCGCCTGGGGATGCTGTCTTAGATCAATGCCATAGTTACCTATAAATAATATACAAATTTAGCCAGGGCTAAAAGCGAAGCTCTCGTTAATAAATTCATAATTTAAATCAAACAATAAACTTGTAATCCACAGATCAGGGCACATTCATTTGACTTTTGAGGCAAAGGCTAAGTGATTTTAGAGAAAAATAATTTGACAGTCCCAAGAGTGAAACAAATTTTACATCGAATTATTAAATAGTCTTATTTGTACACCCAAAAATAGCAATCGTATTCGATCACAGTAGATTAGGCCTGGAAAACAAATAGACCTATTCCAGTATTGTATTTGCATTAGCTGTTGCATCATAATGTGGTATTCACCTGTCTCTCCAACACTGTTCCGTTTGAGAGACTATCGATAATAATATAATGTTAAGAAACACATGCGCCACGATAGTCCTTGGTGGCAGCCAATTTACACGTTGCATTCCTCTGTCTAAAAGAGAGGCCAAAATAAAAATCAGGCCGGATTTTTTGTGTTCGGCAGGTTTAGGTTACTAGTAAATCTTGGCGACGAATCTGGTGGCGTGTAAACCGGCCTTTTGAACGTACTTTTTCTCATCACGTCTCGTACTATGAGGCCCTTTTTTATCATACAGACCTCGGACAGAATTTGTTCTTTTTTGCCCTATTTAAACCTATAATTCTGCAGTTTTTCACAATTTTGCGAGAGAATTTGCACTCATTCAATATCCACGTCGATCAAAGCACACGCTTTCTTTGCACAACAAATTATAGCAAAAAGGTTTTCAGGAAGTGAATTCTATAATGCCGGGACTTTTCAGTTAGAAAAATCTGTTCTTATGTGATATGCAGGGTAATAATTATGGGCTTTTAATGAAAGTGATAAAAAAATTCCCAAAATGACTTTTCAGCCAGCCGGACGGGTTCTCACTTTTGACAGGCACCAAATTTGCAGTGCGATTAATAGAGTTACCATTTACGCTTCAACATGATAGAGAAATTGTTATGTTTAGGTTTTATTTCCCTTTATTTATTAAACTGTGTATGGTTTTGTTATGTATAATCTTTAAAAGCGAGTCATATTTACGCGGCGTTTTGAGTATTCCTGTATGCGATGTATATGTTCGACTGGAAACAACCGGTGCAGCGATAAAAATTGCGAGAGGGACTACAAACAATCAATAAAATAAATATAATTCGGTGAAACATGTACAGAGACAATAATTTTCATTCACGAAGAGAAGTATTGAGAGTAAAGTGTCTGAAAATCATGAGTCAGGTAAGCATAACCTTATTTATGTTTGAAGCGGGCTTCCCGGTGTTTGCTCTTTTTCAAGATGAACTCGAGGCAAGAAAATCGCTCAAAGCTTTCTGTTTACAGCCAAAATCACAACTAAATAATCTTCGGAACCTTTTCTTTGAATTTGCGGTCCAAAAATGTCTAAAGGCTTTTTAAACCTGATACTATTGTAAGCTAGATCATTGCTCGTGGATAAACTTAAGCCGCATAAACCATACACTTGACTTCAGGAAACCGAAAAAAAAAAAACACATCAAAGACAATAATTGCTCAGGCTTACCAGTCGAGATGATGCTTCTGAAGATCATCAAGTGTTCCAGAATCGCTTGAGACTTTTCAACCCTCTTATGCCTCAAGCAAAGGCAAGTAAGTAAGCTCGTTTTTGAAAACGATGCCATCCGAAATCGGATTTCCAATGACTTTGACAAGCGGTGCATTTGTCAACAAAAAGAGCAATAAACAAACCAGCCATGAATTACAGAACAAT